GGCAGGTTCACTTCTCGGTAGGGGGTCGGAGTGGCTTTGGTCCCCTCCTGGCGGGGCTTCTGGGACCGTGTGTGGTACCAGGCACTGGGCTAGGGGCAACAGAGTTCGTGCAAGGACTCTGTGCTCCCTCCCATCTGGAAGGTCACTTCTTAGACCTTGACTCTGTCCTGCCTTCTCAGCAGGTGGCACACAGGGTGTCTCCTTTCCCTTTTTTTTTTTTTTTTTGAGGGGGTATGGGGAAGGTTTGGCTACACCCGGTGATGCTTGGGAGGAACAAGCAGATACTAGGGATTGAACCTGGGGTTCCTGAGTGCAGAGTTTGCATCCCAGCCCTTCAGACTATTGGACCATCTCCCTGTTCCCTCCACTCTTATTGAAGCAAACCCCAGCCATTAGCTCATTTCATTCAGTAGGAAGGAACCCCTCCAGCTTAGGAGTTCTTGTAAAAAGCATCACCTCAGTGGCCTGTTGGGCCTGACAAGATTACCAGTTCCTCCATATCTCAGGCAGCTCCGATCTCTCCCATCTTCCCGCGGCCAACGTCTGACAGGTTTGGATCTGGGTCTGATCTCTGGCACAGAGAGGACTGAGGGGCGCTGGGCGTCTGGCTTTGCTTCTTGCGTGACTGGTTGGTGCTGTCTCCTTGGCTGGGGGCCAGGGTGGGCACGTGGCCATAGTGATGGTGATGTCACAGAGCCTGGCTGTGAGCAGCCCTGAGAATGTTGAGGGCCAGGGTGACCCGGGGCGCATCTGCTCGTGCTCTCTGGTCAATGAACCATGGTAGTATGGACACTGAAAAGCATGTGCAAGGCCCAAGGGGTTATTTCAAGAACTTCCTGCCTCTGAAAATCCCTCAGTGAGGGCCACCCCACCCCTGGGACTGTGGCAGCTACGTCCTAAATTGAGGGACGGTCTTGGGGGGGCCTCTTCAAGTGGAGCCCGAGCCGCGAAAAGCAGGACTCAAGGCTGTGGTGCCTGGTGCCCGGCCAGCCCACAGGGCTGGCACTGGGGAGCCTGGACACCTGCGTTTAGGCGGGTGGTTAAACATTTGAAGAGGCGGAGCCACCTTGTAATTTTTATAATTTTGTCCCTAGTTAATGGGTCATTCAGAGCCTACCCAGGCCATTTGTTGAAAGTTTGGGCAGTTAATGATCCTAACCCCGACCTTCACATTAACCTAAACGCCTCTTGTCAAGGGCACTCATGGTCTTCAGGTAACAGCCACTGTGCCCAGGAGATTGCATCTTTGTTATTGTTTTCTGCCTTTCTTTTCTCTCTTTCTCTCTCTCCTCTCCTCTCCTTCCATTCCCCCTCCCTCTTCATTTCCCTTTCCCTCTCTCTAGGGTGTGTCTCCATCTCAGCCAGGTAGAGCCCCAAACCCTGGCCGTGGGGACCTTCCCCTGAAGGCGTGTCTAAAGGATTCTGGACTTGCCATGTCTCATTTGTGTCCAGACTGTCCGCTCTCCTGACATGGTTCCCTGGCTTCCGGTGCCGCCAAGAGTCAGCTAAGGAAGGGGCGATGTTGATCGCTTGTTCCATTTGACAGCAGGCTTTGTGGGGAGAGGACGGTGACCTCTCAGGTCCAGAGACGTGCATGTAGCAGTGCTCCTCCAGTCCCGAGGGGCATTTGCTGTGGCTCTCTGAGCAAACACTGCCTAGTGAATATTCTAGCGGGCATGCTCTGTGTGTGACGTAAGGGTTTTATTTATTTGAAAGAATTTTTGGTTGGTTTGTTTTGGTTTTGGGTCACACCCGGTAGTGCTCAGGGCTTACTCCTGGCTCTGCACGCTAGGGTATCACTCCTGGCTGGTGTGGGGAACCCTGTGGGGTGCTGGGGATCGAACCTGGGTCAGCCATGTTCAAGGCATGTGCCCTCCCTGCTGTACTCTCGGGCCCTGGGTTAGCTTCTTTTAGCTGGTATTTGGTACTTGTGCTTGCTCCTGCATCTGTCAGTTCCTTGATTTCTTGCCTCCCCCCCTGCTGTCCCGAGGTAGGGGCCATGGTTACCCTGTTCCGTGGATGGGAAAACCAAGACCAGATTCCTTCCACCAAGAGCAGAGGTTAGGGAAGAGGGAGAGTTCTGCTGAACACAGTCTCATACTCCAAGTGGCAGAGGATAAGGCCCCTTATTCTAAAACATGAGATTTCTTGCTTTTTTCTTCTGTTTAGTTTTTGTTTGTTTGTTTGTTACACCCAGTGTACTTTGGAGTCATGCCTGGTGGTGCTCAGGGGACCCCATGCTGTGCCAGGCATTGCACCAGGGTCAGCTGCATGCAAGGCCCTACCCACTATACTGTTTCTCTGACCTGAAACTGGAGATTCCTTTCCCTGGGACATTTCTTGGCCCAGTCCAAGTGATGGATCCCCTGGTCTAGTGTGTACCCTGTGGCATTGGTCCAGGAGGCAGACTTTAGAGGAGGCATCTAGCCCAGCCAGTAGGAAGGAGCCCCCAGTTCTGCCCGTGGAGGCCTCTGTGCCGGATAACTGTCCCTGGGCGGGGTGGGGGGGGATGTTGTGGTGTGTATGATTCTGAGCATAGATCTCCACTGCTCCTGCAGAGCCCACTGGCTTCTGCCCTTGTCTCAAGAGGGTTTGGTCAGGGGAGATAGAAACGGTTACTTTTCTTGGTGGGTGGGGTGACACTCTTAATCGTGCCAGCAGCCTGTGGTGCACAGTGACTACGGCTCAGTGGAGCTGCCTTGATGTTGCCTGGCCCGGCCCTCAGGGCCCTTGCCCACCCCCAGCTGCTGCCAGAAATCATACAGCCAGGCTGGAGGAAGGGGGCTCAGTATGGGGAAACAAAGTTGCCAGTCTTCTGTCTCCTGTGATAAGCTGTGGGTTTCCCACCTGGAGCTGTTAGCCTCCTCCCTAGCCGGCGTCCCTCTCCCGTCCCACCTCTGGAGCTCAGGTGAGGGCAGTGGTTTTGGAGTGTCCTGGACCCTCTGGAGCCTTTGGATGGCAAGGCCAAGAAGTAGAGGAGCTGATGCCAGGGGGCCCCTGTGAGCCGAGCACTGAAGGCATGTCAGGATGTGGCCAGCTGGCACAGCTGCCCTGGCCAAGCCCCAGAGCTCCCCAGGGATGGCGCTGCTGGGAATTTGTAGTCTTTCTCCAGACGCTTGGTGGCAGGCAGCCCCGAGGCACCTGTGGCCCGTCTGCAGGCAGGAACCTAGTTCATCTCTAGCTTTTCCCTGCATTCGCTCTCCTTAAATGCCTAGTGTCTAAAGGGTCAGTGCTGGTGGGGCTCTGCTCAGGCAGGCTTATCCGGGTTCCAGAAGGGAACCCCAACCTCCTCACACCCCCTCCTCTTTGCTCCATGGTGCCTGTGACCTGGCCTCCTCCTTCCCCCCAATCTGGGGTCGCTCTGGCAGCGTGGCTCGGCGTATGCCCACCTGGGACCTCTTTCTGCATCTCTCCAGGTCATGGGATGCCGGCCTCCTTGAGACACAGCTGCTTCGGAGCCGGCCACACCAGTTTCCCCAGTTGGGTGAGCGCTGTATGCGCTTCTCTGCCACCCCAGAGGCTGCCTCACATGTCGGGAATGCCTCTTTCTTCCCACTTGACTTCCTGGCGAGCCAGCCCAGGCTAGCCCACTGGCTTACCCAGACCCCTATGCCATGTGGGCACCAGCTGCCTCTCTGCATTGTTTCCTCCTAAACACCAGAGTCCTGTGTCCTGCATTGTGTGCCGTCTGTGACCTCTTCGGGGACAGCTGTGGGGACAGGCCCCTTGGTCCCTGACCCGGTTGAATGGGAAATGAGGGTTCGCAGAAAGGGCCCTCTTGAAAGCCTTCTTGACGTGGTGGCCCAGCCCTAGGGCAGACAGTGGGAGTGAGGGAGTTACAGGCATGCTTGGGGCAGGAGCCAGCCCGAGTGAGCATCCCCCAGTCTGGCAGCCCAGAACCCCTGAGCCTGGAGTCTTGGGCCCTGGGATCTCCACCTGCTCTTGTGGCCTCTTCCTCTCCTGAGCCCCTTTCTGCTGGCTTCCCAGTCACTGCAGGGAGGAACTCTTTGAGCCTTGAAAAGTATTTACATTGTTTTGCTGCTTTTTCTTATTTTTTAATTTTTGGTCTGTACGCAGCTGTGCCCAGGGCTCAGGGGCCACCTGTGGTGCTAGACCTTGAATCCAGCTACACAAGGCCAGCACCTTCCCCCTATCGTTGCTGCGGCTCCTCATTTTCTGCCTGAAACCAGCTCGTGCACCTGTGAGGACTGTGTCTCTGGGTTTGGCTCACTGGCTGGATTCTTTTGCCAGTGTCTTCCTCCCTGACCTCACGCCCCTCCCCTCCCCTCCAGGTTCCTGGTGCCACTATGCTCCTGTGGGCAGCAATGTTCCCTCTCTGGGGACTGGGGGGCCTGAGGGATCTCTTTAGTCAGGAAGTATGGAGGGTGGTGGCCGGATGGCATGTGGAGGTGAGGTCACTTAGCAGGGCAGCAAGGGCCAACACAGATGAGGGCCATGTAGACCCTTTCTCCACACGGCCCTCCTGTTTCCGGCCCAGAGCTCGGGGGTTCACAGGTGGGCTGGACCCTGCGCCATTCAGGGGTCTGAGCACGGAGAGTCTGTGCATGGCATTCTGTGGAGGGTGCCCCACACCCCCACAGGACACATCTGTCCTGCACATCTGCCCTCGCGGTGCAGAAGACCCCTCCCCACGGCTGGGGCCTCATGCCCTTTGGGGGACGGGTACTTATATGAGTGTCACTGAAGTACTGAGCACAGTACCCGGGCAGGCTTCTGCCCGGGTAACCACCCTTACTGCGGCATGAGGCACATGGGACACTTATCTCTAGCTCAGAGCCTGGGAGCTCCAGGGAATGCTGGCCAGGGGCTGGTCCTGCACTTGCCTGGGAAAGCAAACAGACCCCAGGGGTGCTGGGGAGGGGACAGGAGCAGCGGCTCCCCACCTTCCCCCAGCCCCTGTCAAGGTTGTGCGCGGGCTCCACTCCCAGCTTGCGGATATCTCGAGGGCCAGGGTCATGTGGGCTTTGGGTTGTTCACAGGGAAGATGGTGAGTTGGAAGAAGGCGAGCTGGAGGATGACGGGGCCGAGGAGACGCAGGACACCTCCGGAGGCCCCGAGAGGAGCCGGAAGGAAAAGGGGGAGAAGCACCACAGCGACTCGGAGGAGGAGAAGTCTCACCGGAGACTGAAGCGCAAGCGGAAGAAAGAGCGGGAGAAGGAGAAGCGGCGCTCGAAGAAGAGGAGGAAATCCAAACACAAAGTAGGTCCCCAGGAATGCGGAAGGCGCCCCCACCCCCACCAGTGGGCACTTGTCACGGTGTGGGCTTCCTCTGCCCAGGGAGAGGATTATCTCAGACTCCGGAGCTCACGCTCCATTGCCACCACGTGGTCCTAGGTGGGAAGGTTAGCACAGAGCCCTCCTGGCGCATTCCAGCACGGTCTGCCCCATCTGGGGTCCCCTGTAGCATGCTCACAGCTCCCCCATCACCCCCAGCGCCACGCCTCCTCCAGCGATGACTTCTCCGACTTCTCGGACGACTCGGATTTCAGCCCCAGTGAGAAGGGACACCGCAAATACAGAGAGTACAGCCCCCCATACACATCGGTGAGTGACCTGCGTCCCCAATGAAGGCTGGGTCCTGGCACAGGAAACTGACGCTAGAGACTCTCCTGTAGAGTGAGCTGCTCTGAGCAGATGCCTTCCAGTCCTTGGCAGGACTCCAGATGTTCATTCCCCCCTGTGAATAAGTGACCTTCCAGGAACACCTGACGAGAGGGAAAGGATGCAGGTTATCTGAAATGTCATTGCATCTGAGGTTAAATATGTATCCAGGGAGATCACAGAACTAGGGCATAAACTATGCTTGTGTACTTTCCCCGCCAGCAAACCCCATAAGGAACCAAATAGCGCATTTTTTCCAGTGGTTTTTTTTTTTTCTTTTCTTTTTTTGGGTCACACCTGGCGATGCACAAGGGTTACTCCTGCCTCTGCACTCAGGAATTACTCCTGGCGGTGCTCAGGGGATATATGGGATTTTGGGAATCGAACCCAGGTCGGCAGTGTGCAAGGCAAATGCCCTACCTGCTGTACTATTACTCCAGCCCCGTTTTTTCTAGTTTTGATAAGACCTCCTTATCCAGGGCCTGGAGAGATAGCACAGTGGCCAGGGCAGTGGCCTTGCAAGTGGCCAGCCCAGGTTGTACTAAGGCCAGCGCCCTAACTGTTGCCGAGTAAGACCATTGACTTGCAAGACCCCAGGAAGAGATTAATGGAGGAGCAGCTGGCCACTCCATCCGGGAGCTACCCTCATCTCCTCCGCCCACACGTCAGGGCTCATGCAGGCCATTGCTCACATTTTCTTTTGAAAAGGGGCGCTTTCTGTGGAAGCTTCCTCTGGGCAAATGGCCTATGCCTTGCTGGCATGGGGCCTGGTCCCCCGAGTCAACCCACAGGGCCTGCAGGAGCTCTGGGGAGCTTGGGGACCAGGTGCCTAGGTTCTGTGCTGGCTCACTTCCTTTCCTGCTCAGTCCCACCAGCAATACCCACCGTCTCACACCACCCCCCTGCCCAAGAAGGCCTACTCCAAGATGGACAGCAAGAGCTACGGCATGTATGAGGACTACGAGAATGAGCAGTACGGCGAGTACGAGGGCGAGGAAGAGGAAGACCTGGGCAAGGATGACTATGATGACTTCACCAAAGAGCTCAACCAGTACCGGCGCTCCAAGGAGGGCAGCAGCCGGGGCCGAGGTGACCGCTGGGTCCTCCCTGGGGCGACTGGGAGGCAGGGTTGCTTGACAGATTGATGAAGATCAGGGAGTGGTTGCCCCCGACCCTCAGCAGCCTCTCTTCCCGAACCTGATCATGAAACACGGTCCCGCTGAGCCGAAGGGTATGGGGGAGCCCAGCATCCCCAGCCTTGGTGAGCCTCTTCGGACCTTTTCCTGCCAAAGACTACCTGGACCCTGACAGCTTCCAGAACCTCCCAGATGCGCAGTTTACTTAGGCAGAGGCCCCACTTGTTCTGAGTAGCCAATTATTTATTTAACATTCCCTTTTTATTATTTGTTTGTTTGTGAGCCATGCCCAGGGATGCTCAGGGCTTCCTCCTGGCTCTGCATTCAGGAATCACTCTTAGCAGGCTTGGGGGCCATATGGGATGCCAGGGATCGAACCTGGTCAGCTACGTAGAAGGCAAGCGCTCTCCCTGCTGCACTATGGCTTCAACCCTGTGTTGTTCTGGGGGGGCATACTGCTGCTGGAGGCGACTCCTGGCCCTGTGCTCGGGGATCTCCATGTGGTGCAGGGCCAGGGACCTAGCCTGGGCCTCCTGCTCTGTCAGTGGCCCTCAGATCACTGCTTGTTTGTACTTTCTGAGGACAAGGGGACCATACACACTGCCAGGGTTGGACCATCGTAGTCTGGTCCCCTCCTGGCCCTGTCCCCTCTGGTTGCTCTGCAGAAGTGTGTAGGCCAGCACCATCAGGAGAAATACATTGTGGGCTGCGTGGACGCTGGTGTTTCCCAAGTGAACGGAGCAGTGATTAGCATTTTATCCCAACCTGCAGTTAAGAGTTCACTCAGAATCCCCTTTCTGTCCACTCCCACCCATCACTCAGCCTTGCAGGGGCCCCAGCAGAGGGCAGCTGCTCTCAGCATGCAGTGAGGGGTGCAGGCTTGTGTCCTGGCTACTTTCTCACTCCCATCCCAAGGACTTGGGGGACTAATAGGGTGCCCAGAGCGGCAGGGAAGACTTCCTGGAGGAGGTCAGCAGGGCTGACCCGGCGGGGAGGCAGTGGTTTGTGTGGGTCTGTTGCTGATGCTCCTGGAGGCTTACTCGCTTTCCACATTCCGACACAGGCAGTCGAGGCCGGGGCAGGGGCTACCGGGGCCGAGGAAGCCGAGGAGGGTCTCGAGGCCGAGGCATGGGCAGGGGCAGTCGAGGCCGAGGCCGGGGCTCTGTGGGCGGCGACCATGCGGAGGATGAGGAGGACTTCTACGAGGAAGAGATGGAGGTGAGGGTCTGTGGCCACACCCAGCAGGGGTGGAAGGGGCCACAGGAGAAGTGGGGGAGGGTTGGAGGTGGGGGCTGGGTCTGGTGTACATGGGAACCTGCTCTCTGTGTGGGGCGGTCTCATCTGGGGTTGATCCTGGGGTGCCGCGCCAACTCTGCACTCGGGACAGAGGGATGCTCGCTGGGTTCAGAGGAGCTTAGAGCCCTTCCTCCCCCTGCCCCCTGTCGGAGTGCTGTGTGCGAGGGGGTGCCCTGCCCTGCATGCCTGGGCCACCTCCCCTGGGCCCTTGGTTATGCTTGACTGCTTCTTCCTTCCTGGGATCCCAGTACGGCGAGGGCGAGGAGCCTATGGGAGACGAGGATTACGATGAATATTCCAAGGAGCTGAACCAATACCGCCGGTCCAAGGATGGCCGAGGCCGAGGTGGGCAGGGAGCGTGGGCAGGCCTGTGGGGGGCATCTCTGCTGACCCCGCCTGTGCTGACCTCAGCCTGTCTCTCTGCAGGTCTGAGCCGGGGCCGGGGCCGGGGTTCCCGAGGCCGAGGGAAAGGGATGGGCCGGGGCCGGGGCCGAGGTGGAAGCCGTGGTGGGCTGAACAAGGGTGGCGTGAACGATGACGAGGACTTCTACGACGAGGACATGGGCGTGAGTCTGTTCCCCTCTCTCCTTCCCAGCTCCCCCCCCCCCCCGGACCCCCCCACTCAGCTCCCCTGGGCCTTGCTGCTGCTGCTGACATCCCCTGCCCCTTCCCCTTTCGTCAACACATTTCGTGACCTTCACAGGATGGTGGAAGCTACCGGAGGAGTGACCACGACAAGCCCCACCAGCAGTCCGACAAGAAGGGCAAAGTCATCTGCAAGTACTTCGTGGAAGGGCGGTGCACATGGGTAAGTGGTGGAGTGTGTGCCAGGTCCGTGGGCACATCCCAGGCCAGCAAGCAGGAGCTCCTTATCACTCGCTATGCAGGGGTCACTTTCGGTGTCTTGGCGATCACACAGTGAAGGGACTCAGCCCAGGCTTCCTGCATGTGAAACCTGTGCTCAGTATTTTTATTTTATTATTTTAGCTTTTTAATAAAATCACACCCAGCAATGCTCAGCCCAGCAATGCTCAGGAGTTACCCCTGACTCTGCACTCCGGAACTACTCCCTGTGGTGCACGGGACACACACACACACACACACACACACACACGACCATATGGGATACCTTGAATCAAACCAGTTGGCCACATGCAAGGCAAACACTCAACTGACTGTCCTATTGCGCTAGCCCCTCAGCACCCTTTTCTTAAATTTATTTATTGATTATTTGGTTTTGGGGGCCAACCTGGTGGTGCTCAGGCTTATTCCTGGCTCTGTGCTCAAGAATCACTCCTGGAGATTCCAGGGGTGGAACTCATGGAATTCAGTTGGCTGTGTACAAGCAAACACCACCCCTGCTGGACTAGTGCCCAGACCCCAGTGCTCAGCTCACTGAGCTCTCTCCTGCCTGATTTGGGGGGATTTTTTTTTCCCTTAGGGGAGCACACCTGGTGATGCTCAGGACTTACTTCTGGCTCTGTGCCTAGAGATCACTCCTGCTGGAGATTGGGGGACATATGTGAGGCCAGGGCTCCAGCCTGGGTCAGCCACATGCTGTGCCCCCACCCTGCCTCCTCTACTTTGTCTCCGGCCTGAACTTTTTGTTTGTTTCCTGAAAATTTTCAGTCAGTTCATAGGCCTTGAACCTTGTTTGTTTATTCAGAGCCTGGGGACCATACCTGGTCCTCTCGTACATCTTCCCAACCTCCACAGGGGCTTTTGAAAACAAATTCAGGCAGTGTGGTTCTCTCTGGGAGCTTTTGTCCTCAGTTCCTTGACCAGCTTTGCTGGGGGGTGGTGGGGGCCTTGGCATCGTCTCAGCAGGACACATTTCCGGGCACAGCAGGGCTGTACCAGGGCTCAAGATGCTTGGGATGAGCAGCAAGTTGGGAGGGAAAAGCCGGGTGGGGAGCCAGAGCCGGGGGGCCACTCAGGGCGGGTCTCGAGCCACTGAGGGCCACTGTGGGGGTCTCGGGAGCCATTGGTGGCCTGCCCCCTCACTGCTGCTCTTCCGAGGGAAGGTGCAGTGCCTGACTTTCCACCAGCCCACCAAGGCCCCCTGATCCTCCAACTCTCATCTCTGCTTTTCTTTCAGGGTGACCACTGTAACTTTAGTCACGATATCGAGCTACCAAAGAAGCGGGAGCTGTGCAAGTTCTACATCACGGGCTTCTGCGCCAGGGCCGAGAACTGCCCCTACATGCATGATATCCTTTGGTGCCTGTGACCAAGCAGGTCCTCTTGCGGTCACCACGGCATTCACCACCTCACTGCACAGGCTCCCTCACTTCACCTCCCATCTCCCCCACTGGCTTTCCCCTTCTTGTCACATGATGGGTGAACCGTGGACAGGTTGCACACTCCAGACCACTGCCATGTGCCATTGCCTGTGGCAAATCACCAGATGTCTCTGACCCTCATGGCATCTAGAGCCCAGTGGGAGGCGGGTGGAAGGTGCTTCCCCCTGCCCCCACTTTGGGCTTCTGCCCCTCCTCTCCCCAATGGAGGAGGCAAGCACTGCCCTCGGGCTGGGGAGCCCTGAGCTGACCGTTGGCCTTGACTCCTGGGAACGCGACTTTCCGTGCAAGCTGTACCACACAACGGGGAACTGCATCAATGGCGATGACTGCATGTTCTCCCACGAGCCCCTGACTGAGGAGACGCGGGAGCTCCTGGACAAGGTAAGGGTAGCCACACGCCTCCCCTCTGGCTAGCCAGCAGACTGTTTCTTCCCTTGGAAATCAGGTCCAGAAATCGAGGGGGGAGGGGCATGGAGAGGGGGGGGAGAGAGAGAGAGAGAGAGAGAAGAGAAGAGAGAGATAGAGATGGTGGAGGGGGGACAGGGTCTTGTCAGTTGCTCTCTGCTTTGTACTGGGGTCACTTCCGCCTAAGCTGGTTGGGACTGACCCATGTAGTGATCTCTTGGCCCAGTCAGCTTTGTGGTCTTTGCTCACCTGTGGAGAGGTGCCGGCGGTGGGGTTGTGCTTAGCAAGGAGAGTTCTCTGGAAGGCAGGGGACCCTGGAACTCCTCTCCCATCAGCTGACATTGCTTCTGATGTTCCCTGAGGGGTCAACTCCCCAGTCTGAGGAGGGAATGTGGGATTTTTTCTAGCGGCCTTCCCTTTGGTGGGTGCCCTGAGGAGCTGGGAACGGGGCTGTTGGTGTGAGAGGCTGGGACCAGGCCTGCCTAGATTCATCCACTTCAGGGATCCTCCCTCAGTGCCTTGTCCTGGTCACCCACCTGTGGGTCATCTGCTCATTGGAGGCCACTCCTGGAAAAAGCTTAGGGGACCCTGAGAAGAAGCTGCTGTCCTATGGGGCCCCCTAGTGTGGGAAGGAGGAAGTGGGCACACCCGGGCCAAGGACCGCCTCCTGCCGGGGCTGCTGTGTTTGCTCTGTGCCACCCAGAGCAGTGCAGGTGGCCTTGGAAAGACAGACAATAGCAGCTCTTGCTTTACCCACCCACTGCACCCACACCCAAGCAGGAAGCACTGAAAAAATACATGTATTTTGTTTTTTCTTTTGGGCCATACCCAGCTGTGCTCAGTGTTACTCCTGGCTCTGCACTCAGATATCACTCCTGGCGGTGCTCGGGGAACCATATGGGGTGCTGGCAGCCCCCACCTCACCCACGCTATACTGTCACTCTGGCCCCTCAGACACAAGACTTTTTTTTTTCTTTTTGGGTCACACCTGGCTCTGCCCTCAGGAATCACTCCTGGTGGTGCTCGGGGGACTGTGTGGGATGCTGGGGATTGAACCCATGTTGGCGGCGTGCAAGGCAAATGCCCTACCTGGTGTGCTCTAGCCCTGGACACAGACATTTTGAAAGCATCAATTTTATCTCCCATGTAATTTTTTTTTCAATGTAGGAGTACTGCTATTCATTCAGCAACTGTCTCCCATGTAATTTTAAGCCAGTCTCTTAAGCCAAAGTCTCAGTAGGTTGAAAATGAGTGCTGACCTTGAAAACCCAGCATAGTACTTGGAGGGTCCAGTGAGCCTGCAGGGAGGCTTTGGTCAGCTAATTGCTGCCTCCTGACTGGCCAGGGCGGCACTGCTGGGGAGCAGACGTCAGCCTGCTCCAGGTCTTCTCCCCACGTCTCGGTGACTTCTTTCCTTCCATTCTGGTTGGGGATATGCCTGCTGGGGTCAGTAGTGTCTTCTCAGAATAAGAGCTAAGGAGCAGGCAGCCCTCTCTCAGACTGGCTTTCTGGCCCTGCCCCAGCACCTCTTGCCCACTCTGTCGCCAGCTCCTGCCCGGGTTTGGACACATGTGCGCTGGTATTTCTGTGTGCCTTTTTTTTTTTTGGCTTTTTGGGTCACACCCAGCGATGCTCAGGGGTTACTCATGACTCTGCACTCAGGAGTTACTCCTGGCGGTGCTCGGGGTACGATATGGGATGCTGGGGATCAAACCCGGGTTGGCCATGTGCATGGCAAACGGCCTACCCGCTGTGCTATCACTCCAGCCCGTTTGTGCCTTCTTGAGAGTGGTTTGTGCATGATCTGGCCATTGGCTTTGACGTTCTTGGCTTAGATTAATTTGGTGGCGCATCTGGGTGTAGTTTGTAGGTGCATTCTTCGTCTGTCCTTCTGTTCTTCTTAACCTCGATCTCCCAAAAATTTCCATCGTGTGCTAATAAACATGGAATCTGTAACTGTCCTGGTACTCAAGCTGCCCCCGTCCCCTCCAAAACTCCCCCAGCATTTCAGCGCCTGCCTCGAGCCCCCCCACCCCCCATGTGTCCCCTCCTCCCTGGGCTTTCCCAGAGTCCTGCGGGATGGGCCTTTCAGTGGGTGCGATGGGTCTGTGGGGACTCTGTTGCGGGTCACTGTGTAGCTGTGTTATTTCCATGGATCACTTCAATACCTGTCAGCTGTGGACATCCCAAATGCTTCTACTTTCAGGCAGAATTATTTTTTTTCTTTTTGAGGGCTGCCCCTCCCAGCAGTACTCAGGTTGACCCATCCATCCATTGGGTGCGTAATGAGGGTAGGTGCCCTGGTTGCCCAACTCCACAGAGCTTGCTCTCTGGCCCCAGCATTCAGATGTCAGCTCCCAGGCCAATTGTTCCCAGTGTATTTCCTTGGCCTGGTGAGTGTCTGGGCCTGCCTGCCCCTGTGGCTGTCCTGCCTCAGGAAGCTCCGGGGTGCCTCCCTCGTCTGGTCATGTGCTGGCTGAGTTGCCTGGTTATATGCAGAAGAGCTGCGTCCACTAGGACTGACTGCACTGGGTTCTAGGCGGGGTCTTGGGAAGAGGCTGCGGACAGAGAGGTCTGTTGGAGTAGGGCCCTAGACAGGCGGACCTGGCATCTTGGCACTCCTGCGAGGAAGAAACTAGCGCCCCCTGGCTGCAGTCAGGGAACAGGAATCTGCTGGATGGCTATTGGGGAGCAGGGGCGCCTGCTGGCCTGGTGTCACAATCGTCCGTGCTAAGTGGACACAGTGCACTGCTCCCTACACAGCACCCCAGACCTGCTTTCTCAGTGGCCGGCTCAACTCTCCGCAGGAGTTGGGGGATTTTTTTGGCTTGTTTCTGGTGAATGGGTAGCAGTGCTTCCGCCTCTTCCTTTCTCTCCAAGAACCTGCAAGGTCGCAAACGTGATCAGGGCGACTGAGCAGGGGGCACTGGGAGGATGAGGCAGGTGGACGGGGTGTGGCAGCAGTCCTCAGGAGGTCCAGGCAGCTGTTGTGTGCCAGGGACTATAGTTGGGAGTTGAGAGAAGGGCCTAGAAGGGGCCCCATCCCATAACCGGGCTGGGGCTGGGACCCTGGAGGAGGCAGGAAGTGTGCTGGTAAGCTGACCAGCTTCAGGCCCTCTCAGGCTGGATGCCACACGTGTGGCAGCGCCCCCTGCCCATGCTTCCCCATACTGCTGGCCGCATGTGCAGCCCATCTCGACTGGGAGGCCCATGGCCCTGGGACCAAGACTTTCCCCTGAAGACTACTCCTCTAAGTGAAGTGGGGGAGGGCTGTCACATCCAGCAATGCTCAGGGTTACTCCTGGCTCTGTGCATAGGAATCTCTCCTGGCACTGCTTGGGATCCATATGGAATGCTGGGGATTGAATCTAGATTGGCTGTATGCAAGGCAAATGCCCTCCCCCCTGTGCTGTCGCTCTGGCCCCTAAGCTACTGATTCATCATATTTGCACCCTGACTGAGGCCTCTTGGACCTACCCTGAATGAGAGAAAATGCCTGGCTCCTGCCAGGAGGGACCATCTCCGCCCCACACCTCCATCTGCAGCTGGAGAAGGAGGAACAGTGGAACCCTGGCAGGATGGAGGGCTCCCTGGGTCCCCGCCTCCCCGGGCCTGTCCCATGGTTTGCCAAGGGGCTGCCTAGCTGTGCTCGTGTCGGGAATTTACTCCTGTGAAAGGACCCAGTGCAGTCAACAGAGGGAAGGGACAGGGACAGGTCTGGGCACACCAGGGTCTCCCAAGAGTTAGTCTTACTGGATTGTGACAGTCGCACCGTGCTAGAGTTTTTCATCCCCCAAGGATACACACGCCTCTCCCCGTTCACTGTCTGGGACCTGGGGGATGGGAGCTTTGGGACAGCAAATCCCTCTAACCTGATTGCTCCCCACCATGGCCACCACAGCCCCCAGGCAGAACCCACGGCTGTGCCCACTCCCCTGCCTCATCCCCGTGCGTGAAGTGGTGCAGGTCTCAGGGATGGTCACAGAGACCCCAACAGCTCACCTGCCCCCTCTCATCCCCCGCCATCCACCGGCCTGCGGTTCTGGTGGAGCAAGCATGGGGGCCAGGAGGTCACTGTGAAGGTTGACGTATTGGAGGAAACCCCCACAGGAAGGTGTCCCAGAGGGCTAGGGGAGCGGTGTCTAGGTGGGGCCTCGCTAGGAGAGGGAGCCGCCCTAGGGCCCTGACCTGCCAGGAATCAAGTTTTCTGTTGGTTTAGTTTTTTGTTTTTTTGGGCCACACCTGGTGATGCTCAGGGATCACCTCTGGGGACCTTCTGGGTATCTGGGGACTGAACCCGGGTCAGCAGGGTGCAAGGGCAGGGTGCACAGCCCTTCCTGCTGTGCTCTTGCTCTGGCTCCAAAGACTTAGGTATTATTGATAATCCTGGAGGAGCTGCTGATCGGAGGGGCCAGCCTGTTGCCATTCCAGTGTCCCATCCCCATGCCTTTGCTGTCCCCATGGACATGCGATCAAGGTCCTGGGCAGGGAGGGAGCACTGGGATTCCGGGAGCTGATTGTGAGTCACATGTTGCAGGGCTGTGGCTGCCTGCAGGCGACTGCAGAGGTCGCTTGAGGCCCAAGTGCACACAAGGCACATGTTTTCCCTTCTTTGATCTCAGGCCCTGTGTGGCCCTTCCCGCTGTGGTCACTCCCTGGTGCTCCTTCCCTGCAGATGCTGGCTGATGATGCGGAAGCTGGCGCCGAGGATGAGAAGGAAGTGGAGGAGCTGAAGAAGCAGGGCATTAATCCTCTGCCCAAGCCACCCCCCGGAGTGGGCCTCCTGCCCACCCCGCCTCGGCCCCCGGGACCCCCAGCCCCCACTTCGCCCAACGGCAGACCCATGCAGGGCCCCCCTGGGCCGCCCCCACCCCCTCCACCCCCACCCCCGGGCCCCCCCCAGATGCCCGTGCACGAGCCGCTGTCCCCGCAACAGCAGGACATGTACAACAAGAAGATCCCGTCCCTGTTCGAGATCGTGGTGCGACCCACTGGCCAGCTGGCTGAGAAGCTGGGTGTGCGGTGAGTGTGGGGCCTGGGGTTGTGCGCGTTCCCTGTGGGGGCTTCACAGATGCCCTCTCACAAGTATTGTTTCCTCCTAGGTTCCCTGGACCCGGCGGCGGCCCCCCGGGGCCAATGGGCCCTGGGCCCAACATGGGACCTCCGGGGCCAATGGGCCCAATGCATCCTGACATGCACCCGGACATGCTCCCCGACATGCACCCCGACATGCACCCAGACATGCACCCGGACATGCCCATGGGCCCCGGCATGAACCCTGGCCCCCCGATGGGACCTGGAGGCCCCCCCATGATGCCGTATGGGCCAGGAGACTCCCCGCATGCGGGAATGATGCCCCCCATCCCGCCCGCCCAGAACTTCTATGAGAACTTCTACCAACAGCAGGAGGGCATGGAGATGGATCCTGGGCTTCTGGGAGATGCAGGTATGTGCAAGGAGGGGCCCCCATGCCCAGCAGGGCGTTCTGGGGCTGCTTGAGCAGACTGCCTCCGACACGTCCCGTGCACTGCTGGCTCAGGAGCAGCTGGGCTGAGTGGCCAGAGGGCCCTCGCCAGGACAGCCTCCTTCTAGAAGGTTCCTGCTGGCAAATGTCAGCCTGTCCTGTCCCTTGACCGACAGTTTTCCTCTCTGCCCTTCCTTTCTTGGTGACACAGTCGGGGCAGTTCAGGCAGAGCCACAGGCTTGTGCCCCTTGACAGGAACCCGCATACAATTCCTAGAAATAAGGTGGACGCGATTCTGAGGGAGGGCCGGAGACTGCTGAGGCTGGGTTGTGTCTGTGCCAACTGCCACTTGGGGACGGAAAAAGCATGTGGTCAGTGGGCCGGAGAACAGGTCCAGCCCAGTGCCCTCGTGGAGACAGAAGGGCCTAAGTGATAGCCTGGAGGCTTCTGGTGTGCTGTGGTGTCACCTGGGAAGAGGGGAGGTGGGTGGAGCATGGGGTGGTGCAGGGGGCAGTTCTGAGTTCACATGGGCTGGCACTGTGTGGCTGAGGCCCCTCTTTGTCCATGCTTGGCATTGGGATGGGGGCGCCCAGGCCTAGGGTCCCAGACAGAGGCCAGTGGTATTCCAGGCTGCAGAATCCCCTTGTCAGGTCCTGCTTAGGGGGTCCTAGAAGCCCTGCCAGGCTTGCCCAAGGCGGAATCCCATCTCCCGTGGCTTTCCTCCATGTGTAAGAGACATTGGGAAACTTTGCCCTTTTGTTCGCTCTCAAGTGACTCTTAGATGGTCCTAGGCTCCCATAGGATTCAAGACTTCAGGAGCCCAAGGTGACGTGGGTCCATCAGCCTACAGGGCCATGGCCGAGGTGCCGGGGACCAGAACGTGCCCGAGGCCTGTGCTCTGTAGACGGTTCTCCCAGGCTCGGGTCTGCTGTTATTATCTGACGGGAATGGGCGGGAATAGGGGTGTCGGAGCCACACCGAGCTCTGCTCCCTTCTGCAGTGCGCTTACACCACCCCGCAGCACCACTGCTGTTTCTCCGGCCCTCTTTGGCCTTTTGTAGACCCTACAAGTTCTACGTTAGTTTCTGCTTCTGTGGCATCAGCCTGATAGGGATGTTGGCCGTGCCCGTGGTGCAGTGGTCAAGTGCAGCCATCCCATTGCCCATGCCACCCCGGCAGCCTACAACTGTCTCCCCCAGCAGGCACAGTCCCTCCAGTGGCTAAGTGTGACCATCTCCCTTCCCCCTCTCTGCTCCTCACCCGCTTGGTTGTGGAGGGCTGTGCATGGGAGCGGGAGGGGAGACACGGCAGCCTTCTGCTTTTGAGGTGCTGTGGGGAAAGCCCCAAGCTGCCTCCCATGTGGGCACCTATTTCCACCTTTGCTCCCAGAAGGGGAGCCCGTGGGCTGGCACAGAGCAGTGTCTGCGTCATTGTCACTCTGCCCTTACATCTGTGCCATCAGCTCGCATTTTTCCAGCTGGGCTTCGGTTCCCACAGCTACCAAGTGCAGCGTAGGGATGGCAGGGGACCCCCCACACTGTCTCTGTCTCTGCACATCCTCAGAGCCTCGGCTGTGCCCGACTCTGTGCCCTCCCGTGCCATCACTGGGACTTCATCTCACGGTGACTGTGGTCAGGGCTGCACCCGAGGGGTGGCACCCAGCGGGCAGCAGTGCACGCAGGTGAGGGCTGGGGTGGAGCTGGCGCCGTGAGCCCCTCCGACACGCGCCCCGCTTCTTCCCGCCACAGAGGACTGCGGGCGCTACGAAGAGCTGCCTGGGGAGCGCCTCTTCCCCGAGCACCCTCTGGAGCCCGACAGCTTCTCTGAGGGAGGGCCCCCAGGCCGGCCGAAGCCGGGCGCCGGTGTCCCTGACTTCCTGCCCTCGGCCCAGAGGGCCCTGTACCTGAGGATCCAGCAGAAGCAGCAGGAGGAGGAGGAGAGAGCAAGGAGGCTGGCTGAGAGCAGCAAGCAGGACCGGGAGAATGAGGAAGGCACGTGTCGGGGCCGGGCCGCCGCCCGCCCAGCAGGGAGAGGCCGCCATGAGGAGGGCTGGTTCCTCTCAGAAATGAGCCTATGACCGCGACCCAGCCGGTGGGGGCTGCTGCATGTGGCCAAGGAGCTGGCGGGGCGGCCTGACCCCAAGGAAAGGGGGGTGGGCTGTTCCCGGAGAAGGCAGTGGCTGCTAGGGCTGACCCATGTCCTTGGGATGGAAGGGAGTGCTCATGGTGCCCCATAATCCAGGCATTTCCTGGGGGGAAGCCCCTCAGAGACATGCTGGTGCCACCTACAGGAATGGCCTCTGCGGCCGGCCGCCTCAGGGCATGCACCCTAATTTGGGGGCAAGTGGGGACCATGGGGCGGGCTGCCTCCTCCCCACAGGTTACACTGGGGCCAGTGGAGAGTCTCTGATTGGTTCCTCGGGCAGGGCCGGGCTGCTCAGAGACCCCCCACACATGGCGGCACCCAGACTGGGCCTCGGGGTCTTGCGTGTCTCAGGCTCCTGACCCATACCCTGCCTGCGTGCCCAGAGCATGGGGCAAGCCCGCGCTCGGGGACACCCTGTGACCGCCTGGGAGGCTCTGGGAGCCACTTATCTTCGCCCCTCTGCTCTGCTACAGGTGACGCAGGAAACTGGTACTCGAGTGACGAGGATGAGGGTGGGAGCAGCGTCACCTCCATCCTGAAGACCCTGCGGCAGCAGACATCCGGCCGCCCCCAGGCCGTCATCGGGGAGCTGAGCAGCAGTGGGCTAGGAGACCCACGTCTCCAGAAGGGCCATCCTTCCGGAAGCCGACTGGCTGATCCTCGTCTCAGCCGTGATCCCAGACTCTCTCGCCACGCAGACACCCCCGGTGGGCCAGGCCCTGGGGACACGGGTCCCTCAGACCCCCGGCTTGCGCGTTCCTTGCCCGCCTCAAAGCCCGATGGCGGTGGTCTTCACTCCAGCCCTGCCGGCCCCAGCAGCGCCAAGGTCTCGGGTGTGGTGCCCGCAGAGGAGGAGGAGGGGGAGCGTGCCCTGCGGGAGAAGGCAGCCAACATCCCGCTGGACCCACTGCCTGGGCACCCGCTGCGTGACCCGCGCTCACAGCTGCAGCAGTTCAGCCACATCAAGAAGGATGTGACCCTGAGCAGGCCCAGCTTCGCCCGCACCGTGCTCTGGAACCCCGAGGACCTCATCCCCTTGCCCATCCCCAAGCAGGACACCGTGCCGCCAGTCCCCGCAGCCCTGCAGGCCATGCCAGCCCTTGACCCCAGGCTGCACCGCGGCGCCGCCTCAGGACCCCCCAACCCCCGGCAGCGCCCAGGCACCTCTGCAGACCCTGGTGCGGCCGGCTCCAACCTGCCCGACTTTGAGCTCCTCTCCCGCATCCTCAAGACTGTCAGTGCCACCGGCCCCTCCGCACCCAGCGACAAGCCCAGTGACCCACGAGTGCGGAAGGCCCCCAGTGACCCACGGCTACAGAAGGCCAGCGATGCCGCTGCCTCCGCCAGGGCCACCAAGCCCGGCCCCCCTGACCCACTGTCTCCAGGCAGCAGCCCCAGCGGAGAGGGCTCCCCGCCGGCCACCGCACCCTATGACCCCCGTGTGCTGGCGGCCGGGGGGCTGGGCCAGGGCAGCGGGGGTGGCCAGAGCAGTGTGCTGAGTGGCATCAGCTTATACGACCCCAGGACTCCCAACGCGGGCGGCAAGGCCCCGGAACCGGCTGCGGATGCGGGAGCCCAGCCCAAGGGCCCCGAGGGCAACGGCAAGGGCCCAGGCAGTGGGGCCGTGGCTGGCAGCGGGGGTGGGTCTGGTGGCAAGGCCAAGGAGCCCCCTTTCGTGCGGAAGTCAGCGCTGGAGCAGCCTGAGCCAGGCAAGGCCGGGCCGGAGGGAGCCCCGACGCCGGCCACAGACAGATACAACAGCTACAACCGGCCCCGGCCCAAAGCCCCTGCCCCTGCGGGCGGCACCAGCACCCCCCCCACGGAGGGCGCCCCGCCGCAGCCCGGGGTGCACAACCTGCCCGTCCCTACCCTCTTCGGGACAGTGAAACAAGCACCCAAGACAGGCTCCGGCAGCCCCTTTGCAGGCAATAGCCCGGCACGCGAGGGCGAGCAGGACGCGGGGTCCCTGAAGGATGTTTTCAAAGGCTTTGACCCCACCGCCTCCCCCTTCTGCCAGTAGTGTTGGGTCGCAGCCAGAGCGGGGTGGGGGCTGCGGCGTGTGCTTCTCTCTAACTCTTCTCTTCCAATAGTTCTTTCTGTGAGACATAAACTGTATAGAATCACCTTGGTCCTGTCAGTGCCGCGGCCCAGGCCCTCGACAGAGCCCCTGGGTACTTGGAGCTGTGAGCAGAGCACGGGACCTTCTTGCACCGAGTGCCCCCCAAGCCTCCGTCACCCTGTACCCCAGCCTGCTCTGGGGCCACCGGGCGGGTGTGTGTTCTTGTCAGTATTAGCTATCCTTGGGGTGGCCACCCCAGGCCCCCCAGGACTGCTCAAGGATCCGAGTGTGAGGTGGTCACTCCCCAGGTGGTGGGGGGCCCCGGGGCGCGCTCATCTTCCTCACCCATGGGCGCTGGGGTTCAAGGAGCATCGCAGAGCAGAATCTGGACACCTCAGAAAGGAGAACTGGAGTTGGGCGCGCCAGGGCAGCTGGGCCCTCCAAGAGAGCCTGGGACCCTGCAGCGAGAGCCGGGCACAAATTCTGCCGCCCCGCTCGTGTCTGGCTGAGCCGGGAAGGAAGCAGGCCCCTGGCCCAGGCCCTCAGCCCCCCCTCCAAACTAGAGCCGTGGAGAGGTTCTGGGGTGCAGCTTTGCACTTGCCGGGCTATCTCCCCCTCCCCCACTTTTCCTCTTCCACTGCCCCGCCCAGCCCCCCGCTTCCTCCTGCTAATAATGAAATCTGGTGACCCAGCCAAGACCCCCCCCCTTTTTTTAGTAGGGTGGGAGGTGAACAAGGCTGCTAGACCAGTCCCCCCCTCTGGAAAACAAAGTTTCCAGGCGTGGGGGCGTAGCGCCCGTGGTGGGGGGCTTGGTTCGTGGCAGCATCCGTTTTGGTTCGTGGTAATAAGCAATCATTGGCGAGATTCCGCCAGCGTCCCTGGCACCGCCGTGTGGGGCCCCTGGGTGAGGACTCCGCACTGCTGCGGGCTTTCCTTTGCCCTCCTTGGGGAATTTCCTTTTGTAATAGAAAAAAAAAATGCTTTTATAAAATCGAAATTTGTGGATGAAATAGAAGCTGGAAACTTTCCTCTTGGAATATTCAGCCTAAGGACCTCATGGAACGATGAATTCACCCCGAAGTTTCATTTGCCATCAGGCCGAGCTTTTAAAGGAAAAAAAATGTTCTCTAACCAGGATTGTAACAAAAGTGTAAATACTATTCAGAGTCGAGAGTCGATGGTGCAAATATGTATATAACGTACTGTATTTTTACAATGATTGTCGCATGCCTCTATTCCTATCCCCCATTTTGTACTCCACACCCGTCTTCCAGAAACTTCGCCTGCCCTTTTCCCCATGGTCTCTTAATCCAATAATCGTATTACTGCCATTAAAGGATGCAGTTATTTTAGAAGGCCTGTGTTCTCCGTTCGTGCTGGGCCCCAGCTGCTCTAGACCCGGGCATCACAAGGAAAGTGGGGTGCTGCCTAAGAAGAGAAGGCAGGTGGGTTTGTCATTGTTCCCCCTCCCCCCCCCCCGCCCCTCGTGGCTGACACGAGGGAGGGAAAAGCAGACTCCTGATAACTGAGGCTGGTCCCAGGGCACCTGGGTCGAGAGGGCCTGGCATGGCCTGAAGCTGCAGGTCCATAGCCAGAAGCCACAGGCCTGGGTCTGCCTCACCTTCATCTGTCCTGGCCTAGGTCTGCAGCGGGAAAGCCAGGGCCAGTGGGCCAGGGGTTGAGCCCCAGGGCTGCAGCCCTCCCAGCACTAATGTCCCATTTGTGCTGAATGGGACGTGCAGAATGTCCCATTCTGCAGGTCTCTTGGGACACTGAGCCCAGTTCTAATGTCTGTCTCATCCCCCTGCCAGCTTTGCGGCTGGAACTGGGAGAAAGGGAGGGCTGGCTGGGACGGGTCCTAGGCTTAACTGCAGCGTTAGTCACCCCACACTTCTGAGCACCAAGCTGTGAGTGACCCCCACCCCTTCCACCACCACCAGCATTGCTAGGTATGACCCCCAAACACAAAGAAGAGGGGCCAAATGAGGAGCACAGAGTTGGGGGTGTGACTGGCAGTGCGTGCCTGGCAAGTTGAAATCCAGAGTTTCATTACTGCTAGCACCTGGTTCTCTGAGACCTGCTGGATATGGTCCCAAAACCACACAAAAAGGGGAGGCCACCTGCCCATCAGCACTTAACTTTAAAAAAGTGGGCGCCGATGAGGTTGCCTGATGGGGAAGGTGCTTGCCTGGCACTCAGCCAATCCCAGTTCCATCACTGGCACCACATAGAGTCCCCCCAGGCCCTCTGGTCTCCAAATAAGCCCTGGTCACCGCCAGAAGCTGCCCCAAGACAAAGCGTGGCTCGTTTGGAGCAGTTAAAGGACTTAGGCCCTCAGCGCCCACTGTGGCCATGGGTTCAGCTCCCACATGCTCTTGCTCTTGGAAGCCAGAGAGGTTTGAAGCAGGAATTGGGAAGGGTCAGTATCCCCAGGACCAACCAGGAACCCTGCCCAGATACTCTTCCCAGAACCCCTAACTTCCTGGGTCCTTACATGAGAGGGAGATGACCTCAGTCCATGACGAAAGGGAAAAGAGGCTGGGGGCAGAGGGCTCCCCAGCAGCGCATCCTCGGGGCACCCCTGCCTTGGGGGTGGGGTCTCACTGCCTCCAGCTTCCTCCTCTGTTGTCAGAAAACCAACAGAGAAGGAGGAAGAGGAGTCAGTACCTTTGGCCTGACTGTGAAGGAAGGAGTAGGGGTGTAAGAGTGTGGAGCCAAGTTACCTAAACCTTCTGGATTGAGCCAGGGAGCTGTGTTGTCTGGGTCTGAGCTGCCATGGGCCCTTGCTACTCTTTCAGGGGTGCAGTCGGGCCACCCCCGGCAGTGCTCAGAACTCCCTCCTGGCTCTGCGCTCAGGGACCACTCCCAGTGAGGTTTAGGGGACCTCTTTGCTGCCAGGAATGGAACTAGGGCCGGTCACGTGAAGGCCAGCACCCTGCTCCCTGAACTCTCCAGCCCTGGCCCCGCTTTGGGACCCAGTCCTTGAGCCAGGCTCTCCTTGAAGGCCTGTGTTCGAGGAGTCTGCAGGGGGAGGAGAGGAAAGCCCTGAGAGACCTGAGATCTGGGCCAGAAACAGGAGTCCTGGCCAGAGGCTGTAATCGACCATCAGGTGAGTGTGAGTTGCAACTCTTGCCTCCATGAGGGAGGGGAAAGCAAAAACCAAGATGGTTACATCTGTTCAGCAAAAATGGGTCTCATCTGACCTGAGATTTCAATCTGAGCCTGCCAGGAGTGGTTCCTGAGCACTGCTGGGTATGACCTAAACACACACACACACACAATTTCCAAGGTGATTCTTTTCTTGCAGACTGATTTGGAAATCAGAGACTACTTTGGGAAAATGTGGGGAAAGAACTGTGAGGTAAGTGTATAATGAACGTGTGGGGTAGGCCCAGACATGGGGCTCAGTGTTGGAGCCTGCCCTGTGTGTGTGACACCCGGGGCCTGATTGCCACTTGGAAGGTAGGATGCAGGCCCAGGGGAACCCCACATGTGCTCTCCAGGTGTCATTTAGAGGGATGAGCTGAGCATCTCCTCCCGACAACCCCCTCAAAAGTTTCTGGCTATGGGCTGGAGTGATAGCACAACGGGTAGGGCGTTTGCCCTGCACACAGCTGACCCGGGTTCGATCCCTGGCATTCCATATGGTCCCCCAGCACTGGGAGTAACTCCTGAGCATCACTGGGTGACCCAAAAAGCATAAAAAAAAGTTTCTGGCTGTTCTTGGGGGTATCTTAGGGCCTCCCCATTTTTGTTGTTTTGGTGCCACATCTGACTGTGCTCTGGGGCAGTGTTTCAGTGCTCAGAAATCAACTCTGTAGTGCTAGGATTGAACCCTGGCTTCCTGCATGCAAAATCTGTGTTCATATCCTTTGAGCGCTCTCTCTCTCTCTCTCTCTCTGTATCTCTCTCTCTTTCACTCTCTTTCTCTCTCCCTCCTCCTCCCCCCCTCTTTCTTACCCTCTCCCCAGTTTCTTTTCTTTCTCCTTTTTTCTTTGAAGGGGGGGCTATCAAGGAAGTGACTTAGTCCACAACCAACAATGCTCAGGGGTTGTTTCTGGCTCTGTGCTCAGGAGTGACCCCTAGTGGTGCTTGGGGACCACATGCAGTATCAGGCATCAAACTGGGATGGGCTACGTGCAAGGCAAGTGTCTCTTCCCCTCTTAAGATCTTCTTCTCCTCTCAAAATTCTGAGCTTGAATTCAGATCTATTGTTTATATCTAGGGTGCTTTTTGTTTTTTAAGTTTTTGGATTATACCTGGTAATGCTCAGGGGTTACCCCTGGCTCCACATTCAGGAATTACTACTGGCGGGGCTTAGGGGAACTGTATGGGGTGCCAGGGATCAAACCCTGGTTGGTCACGTGCAAGGCAAGCACCCTCCCCACTGTCCTGTCGCTCCAGCTCCTGACCTAGGGATTTTTACTCTTTTTCTTTGCAGTGCCAGGGATCAAACCCAGGACCTCATACTGGTGAAGTCAGTGCTTCAGAGCAAGACTTCCAAACTGTCTGGTTCAGGTGTTATGATTTGACACCTTCACTGAGATCCAGGCATTCATTTGGGAACCTGTAGGAACCTCGTGGTTTATTTTTGATTTTTTTTTTTTTTGAGGGCCACACTGTCAGTGCTCAGGGGCCATTCCTGGCATTGCTTGGGGGATCATAGCTGGTGCCAGGGGTCTCCAGTGCCCTTATTTGTTTTGATTTGGGGTCACAACTGGTGCTGATTTGGGGCTACTCCAGGCATTATGCTTAGGAGTCACTCCTTGCAGTGCTCAGGAAAAATGTGGTGCTGGGGATTGCTTTTTGGGTCACACCCAGTGATGCACAGGGGTCACTCCTGGCTCTGCACTCAGGAATTACCCCTGGCGGTGCTCAGGGTACCATATGGAATGCCGGGAATCGAACCCGGGTCAGCCACGTGCAAGGCAAACACCCTACCTGCTGTGCTATTGCTCCAGCCCGGGTGCTGGGGATTGAACAGGTGATCTACAAGTGCTGTCTCCCACTTTTAGTTTGTCAGTTTCCTTTACTTTCCTTCCTTTTTTTTTTTTTTGTTCACACTCTTCAGTGCTCAGGGCTTATTCCTGGCTCTGCGCTCAGAGATCTTTCCTGGCAGGCATGGCTCAGGGGACCAAATGGGGTGCCAGGGATCAAACCTGGGTTTGCTGTGTACAAGTCACCCACAGATCAAACTTGCTGTGTTCAAGGCAAGGCAACCTACCTGCACTACTATTATTCCAGCCTCAGTAATTTTTTTCAGCGAAGAAAATAGATTTTATTTTATTTGGAGGGTTTTTGAGATGTGGAAGGGGAGAGAGAGAGAGAGAGAGAGAGAGAGAGAGAGAGAGAGAGAGAGAGAGAGAATAATGTGCTAAAGAGAGAACACAGGCTTCTCCAAGGGCAGAGAAAGAGCCCTTGGAATAGACACATCCCAGCATTGGACACGAAAGCATGAAATTACACATCTCAAGAGGGAAGATGTGGGTGACACATGTGCTTGGGCACCATATGTTGCTTGGCCTCTTGGGCCCAAGCAGCATATGGGCTCAGGCGGCATATGAGCCCCAGCCTCAGTAATTAAAAAAAAAAAATCATAAATGGTGCAGTTCTTTTCTTTTGCCCAGGGAGGGGGTGGGGATCACATGGTGATGTGTGATGCTCAGTGATGCTCAGGGGTTGCACTCAGGAATTACACCTGGCACTTGAGGAAACATATGGGATGCTGGGGATTGAACATGGGTCAGCACCGTGCAGTGTAAGGTAAATGCCCTTCCTTCTGTACTATGGCTTTAGGCCCTGAGCGCATTTTCAAATCAAGCAAGAAGGTACTTTTGTTGTTGTCTGTTTTCGTTTGTTTGTTTGTTTGCTTTTTGGATCTCACCTGGCGATGCTCAGGGGTTACTCCTAGCTCTGCATTCAGGAATCACTCCTGGCGGTGCTCAGAGAACCATATGGGATGCTGGGAATCGAACCCGAGTAGGCCGCATGCAAGGCAAACGCTGTACCTGCTGTACTATTGCTTCTGCCCCACGTTGTTGTTGTCGTCTGTTTTAACTCAGTTGGTAACAATGTGAATCACATGGATAGATCTTTGTGTATTTATGTGTGTTCAGAGACCAACAATATCCTTACATAGAAACATCCAGCCCTAATCCACAGCAGTTACCCCACTGTGGAGAGACAGTACCGAGAAAAAGCACTTTTAGGAGCGATTCCCAGAGCACAGCGACAAACGTAAAACCTGAGCATGGCCAGGTGTGGCTGCAAACAAACAAAAGACCACAAACATCTGACAATACAGATGTTTGAAAACTTTCCACCGTGGGGGGGCGATGGCTTGGAGACGACTTAGGGACCCTTCACACAGATAAGGCTGTGAGTTCGAACACTGTCAAGTTGGTGGAGGAGTTGACGCAACTGCAAGCTCTGGGAAGGAAAAAGAAGATCACTCTTTTCTTTTTTCTTTTTGGGTCACACCCGGCGATGCACAGGGGTTACTCCTGGCTTTGCACTCAGGAATTACTCCTGGCGGTGCTCAGGGAACCATATGGGACGCTGGAAATCTAACCCGGGTCAGCCACGTGCAAGGCAAACGCCCTACCCACTATGCTACCGCTCCAATTGCTATTGCTATTGCTCTGGCCCCAAGTTTGCAAAGTTTAGTTTTCTTGAACATGGGATTTAAAACGACTTAAGTTCATTAAGGATGTAACTCAGTGGCGGAGAATGTGCATCTCACGTAGGAGGACCTGGATTGGAGCACCAGGCACGCACAGAAGTCAAAACTACAAGTCCCAGGCGATCACATGTCGCAGCCTCCTGAAGATCGACCTTTTCTTGGGGGCAATGCGCGATGGTACTCGTAGTCCAGCCGCGTTACGGGGCGGGACTCGAAGTACCGGCATAGGCGAGAGAGGCAGGAACCACCGTTATTCTTACCAATGGGCAGTGCGCAGTGCGCTTGAGTGGCTCCGGAAGGACCAATGGCTGCGCGCGGAGCCTGAGTGACGGGAAGCGCAGCCTACGGGCAGTTGGTGGGGAGGGCCCGGGCGCGGCGGCCCTAGTGCGAACCATGGGAGGCGGCTGGTGGTGGGCACGGGCCGCCCGCCTGGCCCGACTCCGCTTCCGGGGGCCGCTGCTGCCGCCTCCGCGGCCCCGGAGCGGCGGCGCACGGGGCTCCTTCGCCCCCGGCCACAGTCCGCGCTCCGGGTCCACGCCGCCACCGGTGTCCGAGCTGGACCGCGCCGACGCCTGGCTCCTCCGGAAGGCGCATGAGACAGGTCTGTGGCGGAGGCTGGGGCTGACCGGGGGGTCCCGGGACCCGCGTTCCGGACAGCCGAGCTCTGCGCGCGCGGCCTCGAGGCTCCTGCTCGAAGCAGGGCCCGGGATCCGGTGGGTGGGGGGAGAAGGCGGCGAGTCCGGGGCAGCGGGGCGCAGACAGAACGGTCGGACGGGACAGGCGACCTTGTGCAAATGATCGGAGATCCTTGCAAAGAGGGTTCAGCGCGCGGGAGTACGCGGAGCAGGGGCCAGGCCGGCTGGACTGGGCGCCCCTCTCTGCAGGAGGCGGGAGCGGAGATCCCCGCAGAGGAGGGGGCCGCTCCACATTGGACGGGGCAGCAGCCAATAGAAGAGACGCTCGCCTCTGATTGGAGGGCCAGATGATCCAGCTTCAGGGGGCGGGGCCTCGTTTGAGGCCCGCGTTGGAGGTGGAAAGGGCCCCTACTCTGGGAGCACGTGGGGGGTGCCGGTGGCTTTTACCCAGTCAGTACCATAGGGCCACCTCAGGGACGCACTTTGATGCCAGTGACTCGAAGAAGGTGGTGCCGTATGATAGGTTTTGAGATAAATCGAAGGGGGTGTTGTGTGGGATTATACAGGTGAGGAGAGGGTCCACCAAGCTGGCCTCTGGTGTTTGTGGGGGTTATCTTCCTGTCCTAAGATTTTATTTTGTTTTGGGGCCACACTTGGCAATGCTCAGGGCTTACTCCTGGTTCTGCACTCAGGGATCACTCCTGTAGTGCTCAGGGGTCCTATAGGAGGCTGAGGAACAAACCTCGGTGAGACATGTGCAAATGCCTTACCAGCTCTCTGGCGCCGTCCTCAGATTTTGGTCCTGCGTTTTGGGGCCTAGATTCATCAGTTCTTCAGACTTGCATGACTTCAGGACTGACGGGGTTAGGGCAGGGCCAGGCCAGGTGGGGGCCCTTGGGAAGAGATAGAGACTTGGGGTATGAGGAAAAGCTTCCAACTCCTCACCTGCACGCCTGGCCCCTCCCGCCTCCAGCTTTCCTCTCCTGGTTCCGCAATGGACTCCTGGCGTCGGGCATTGGGGTCATTTCCTTCATGCAGAGTGACATGGGTCGGGAAGCCGCCTACGGTGAGCACAGATGCCCCACGAGGGTGTGAGCCCTGTACCCCTCTCCCTGGTCGAACCCCATGCTCTCATCTGCCCCTCACTTGTGCCGTCCCCCCCACGTCCCGGCCTGGGCGCTAAGAGGGCATGGTGGGGTCCTCCTTCAGCTATCCACCCCCCACCCCCCTTCTGATCCTGGATTCCCAGCCCCAACCTGCCAGCCTGAGATACCCAGTCACAGCTGGTGCCTCCTGCCCTGGGCCCGCCCCACTGTGCCCTCTGCCCCTGATGCCAGTTGCCCTGCCCTCTTTCACAGGCTTCTTCCTGCTGGGCGGCCTGTGTGTGGCATGGGGTGGCACCTCATATGTGGTGGGCCTGGCGGCACTGCGCGGGCCCATGCAGCTGTCGCTGGGAGGCGCCGCAGCGGGCGTGGCCGCCGTGCTGGCCGCCGGTCTGCTCTGGGCCTGCGCCGTGGGCCTCTACATGGGCCAGCTGGAGCTGGACGTGGAACTGGTACCCGAGGACGACGGGACGGCCACCGAGGAGGACCCGGACGATGGGGGACGCCCACCCCCAGAGTGAGCTGCAGGACTGCGAGCACTGGCCCGAGAGCCCGCGGTTGGGGACATTAAATCTGACGCTTGGCCAACTCTGAGTGATGCTTCGTGTTGTCTAGAGGGAGGCGGTGTGGGAACCATGGCGGCGGCGGCGGTGGCAGGTGGACACCAAGAAGCAGGAGACACAGCATCCAGGCACCCAGACAATGAGCCCCAGGTTGGAGCAGGTTTAATTCTCGGGGTGGGCCTTGGGGGTTGACCCTGGCCCCAGGGCCTGGCTCTGTGGGTGACACCCCCCCCCCCCCAGTCCTCAGTCCCCCTTCCGCTGCACCCTGGTGCCTGGAGGCCCGGCATAGGGCAGGGCCAGAGTGGGGTAGAAGGCCTCAGGGAGCACTGGCCCGGGCCCCAGCCGCTGTAGGTGTGGGTACATGAGGCCTAGCTCCGCGGGGCCATAGCGGATGGTGCCCGGTGTACACAGGCCCCGCACCACCGGGGACAGGAAGCCGGCGTGGAGCAGGGATGGGGCGGCGTCCCCAGGAGGCCCCCACGGCTGCACCAGGTCCTGCTTCAGTGCCCGGATGACCGACGTGGACTCAGGCCGAAGCAAGGCCAGGGCTCCGGGCAGCTCCTCCTCACTGCTGTCCTCTGGGCCCCGCGTGTCCCCAGGGCTGGGCTCGGCTTTGATGCGCTTGCTCTGCAGCTCAGGGACGGGGGCCGGGGCCTGGTCCTGGGGGGCTGCCAGTTTCCCTTTCCGGGGAGGCTCTGAAAAAATCAGATTCTGAGGGGCCCCGCTGGGTGGGTCCCCTAAGCAGGGCTCACTCTACTGCGGGGGTCTCAGGGGCCATCAGGACCTCTGATCATGTCCTAGATATGTGTGGTCATCAGAATAGGGCAGGGGAGAGGTTGGGGACAGTGCTGAACCCCCTCTGGGGCCCCCAGCATCAACAGAGGGGGGAGTGGGAAACCCTGCCAAGACCCCTAGAGCTTTCCAGGGGAGAAAGATGTTCTCTTCTGGGCCATGAGTGCCACGCCCATGCATGGGGCTGGGAAATGCTAACTTCCTGTTCCCACCTGACAGAAAGTCACTGCCCATGGCTGGGGGCTCACCGAGGGGCTCAGGCTCTGGGCTAGGCGTGTCCTCACGGACCACATTGGCTGGAAGCTGGAAGGCATCCAGGGGTGTCTGGCCACCTTCGGCTTGGCTGGGGGGACAAGACAGAGGCCTGGGAACAGAGCAGCCTCTGAGGGTGGATTCCTGCCTGCCTAAGCAGGGAGTACCCCCCCCACCCCCATCCTATGGGGGTGAGCTTCTCTGCCTGATTTGAAGTACTGGGGTGCAACACTAACCCCCCCTCAAAAAAATCCCTAATCTGGGGCTGGAGCAATAGTGCAGCGGGTAGGGTGTTTGCCTTGCACACGGCCGACCCGGGTTTGAATCCCAGCATTCCATACAGTCCCCTGAGCACTGCCAGGGGTAATTCCTGAGTGCAGAGCCAGGAGCAACCCCTGTGCATCGCCGGGTGTGACCCAAAAAGAAAAAAAAAATCCCTAATTTGGCCTCTACCTCTGCATGCTGGAGGCCCAGGTTCGAATCCTGGTCACAGCTGAGCCCCGGTGGAAGTGATCCAGAGCACTGTCTGGAGCACCTCCGGAGCACTGCTGGGGTGGCCCTGGCATAGCTGGCTGTGAGTCTCTCAGTTTTAAAGCGTGCCTGATGCCCCATTTGCCCAGAATTCAGATGCTAACAGAGCCGACAGTTGCCGGAGCGTCACCCACCCCACCCCCCACCACGGGGGCGTGCAGCCCTCACCTGAGCACGTGGCTAACCCACAGCACGTGGCGTTCCGCCGGGCTCTTCCCGTTCACAGCCACGGTGGCCACGGACTGCAGCCATACAAAGCCGCCTGCTCGCTGCAGCCAGCGGTAGTAGCCGGTGGCCACTTGGCCCTTGTCCAGCACTGTCGCCCCGGACGGGGCAGGAGCAGAGAGATGGGAGCGGGTGGGGAGTGACAGGGAGACCATGGGAATGGTGGGGCACAGAGAGAAAGGGGCAGAGTCCGAAAGAGCAAGAGGTCACCTCGCGGAGGTCCCCAGGCTGGCACCGGGACCCCACAGTCCCTCATTCTCCCGTCCCGCCCCAACCCAGATCTGAGCGCGGCTCTGGTTCTTGGTGGAGGGAGGTCCCGGGGTGCAGCGCATGCGCAGGCGGGGCAGGGTCAAAGAGTCTCACAGTCCACGTGGCTCTGGCGGATCCTGGCTGCATCTTGTCCGTGGACAAACTGGTAGCAGCTGCGGCCCACAAGCTCCGAGGGCCCCAGATCCATGTGGTCGCTGATTCTGAGGAAGGGGGGACTGGTGGGGCAGCGAGTCAGGACCCGGGCCACAGGGTGGGGGGAGAGAGAGCTTGGTTCCCAATCACCTGGGGTTCAAACCTTTGCTAGGGCCTCAGTTTCCCCATCTGGGAAATAAGTGTAATAAGTGTGTCCCTCCCGGGGCAACTGGCATTCTAGGCGAAGAGCATCTGCGGCAGCCCTGAGCAGGGGGAGCCCCTTCTCAGGTTCAGTGTCCCTCGGAGAGGAGGGTTGGGGAGACGGCTCAGGGCTGAAGGGAGGTTCCTTTTGCTTGTGAGCAGCTGGGTTTGACCCCTGGCACCACATGGTCCCCCAGCACAGAACTAGGTTTATCCCAGAAGCCAAAAAGAATGAAAGAGGGGCTGGGGTGATGGTCCAGTGGGGAGGGCATTTGCCTTGCACACAGCCCACCCAGTATTATGCCTTGGCATTCCATCGGGTCCCCTGAGCACTGCCAGGGTGATCCTGAGTGCAGAGCCAGGAAAAACCCCTGAGCATCGCCAGGTGTGGCCCAAAAAAACAGCAATAAAAAAAGAGACCAGAGAGACAGAAAAAGGAGGGGGGCTGGAGCTGTAGTACAGCGGGTAGGGCATTTGCCTTGCACGCGGCCAACCCGGGTTCGATTCCCAGCATCCCATATGGTCCCCTGAGCACTGCCAGGAGTGATTCCTGAGTGCAGAGCCAGGAGTAACCCCTGTGCATCGCTGGGTGTGATCCAAGAAGCAAGAAAAAAAAAGAGGATGTCCTCTCCCCTAAAGATGTCACCCCCTACTCTTCCCTTTTCATGCTGCTCCTTACTGCTGCACCCAGCACACACCCAGTCTGCCTGCACCCTTGCCCTGGCCCCCGCCCGGGTACCTGCTCTCACAGGCAAGGATGGTGAGCGCCAGGCTGAGGCGGAAGACAATCGTGTGCCCATGCAGTGGCAGCTCTGCCAGCGGGGCGGGCGGCAGCGTGTGCCCAAGGGCCACCAGACCCAGTGCGCGTGCCCGAACACGACCTGTGACATGGATGACCTGTAGAGGGGTAAGGCCAAGGGGTGTTCATTATGGGCCGTGGGGTCGCCTCACCCGGCACCACAGGGGTTGGGGCCGGGGCCCATACCCACCTTGTACCCTGATGCCTTGAGGTGCAGACCCCTTTTGGTGAGTGTGGATTTCATGCGGACGAAAAACGAACGCTCCTGGGGCTGGGCCTCGGGCGCCGCTGTAGCGGGGCTGGCCTCTGTGGCAGGGAGGGAGGGCAAGGTCTGGGTAAACTTGAGTGACTGCCCCCTGCCCACCCAGCCGGCTGGACACGGGGTCCTGTCCGTAGCCTGGTGAGTACTCACCTGTCCAGTGGCCATGCTGACCGCCACCCTCCCCTCGAGCTGCAGCCAACTCAGCCGCTCTGAATCTCAGACCTGGCCTCATCCCTTCCCCTCTCAGGCAAGTTTGGCTCCCCCAGTGGCCTCAGACTTGGGCCAGAACCGCTGACAATATCCACTCATTACAGTCACTGAGGTCAGGTATCTGCCCCAGGAGCACTCCCTGATCTGGAGGCTGGTTTCCACATAAAGCCCCCTCAGCTCCTGCCCACTTGGGGGAGCAGGAGGTCACTCCAGAGACAGGGCAGTCTTGCCCTGCTAGACTCAGCCAGGGCCGGAGAGAGAGCACAGCGGGTAGGGCATTTGCCTTGCACTTGGCCAACTCAGGTTCAATCCCTAGCATCCCATATGTCCCCCAGCACTGCCAGGAGTTAATTCCTGAGTGCAGAGCCAGGAGTAACACCTAAGCATTGCTGGATGTCCCCCCCCAAAAAAAAAGAACGTCTCAGCCCTGTGTAAGGCTGGCTATCAATCACGGGCTCAGGCTGTCTTAAAATCATGAATAGATTTTCTCCAACCCTCAGCTCTAATCCACGAACCAGTGTCAGTCAGGGTGTGCAGGAAGCTGGAAGACCACAGTTGGTCTCCTACCTTGACTTGAGCTGCCAGTTTGTGAGCTAGTGCAGGACAGGTACTGGCCCACAGGTAAAAAAAGAATGGTTCCCCACTGCCACTGGAATGATAGGACAGCAGGAAGGGTGCTTGCCTTGCACTGATCTGGGTTTGATCCCCAGAAACCTGTCAGTCCCCTGTGCACTACCAGGAGTGATTTCTGAGCACAGAGCCAAGAGTAACCCCTGAGCAATCTCAGGGAATGACCAAAAAGCAAAAACATCAACAAAATACCCTATTGGTAGGATAGGCTGTCTCAGAGTGGTTCAGCATCTGCACTGAAAAATACTTTCCAGGAAAGCATGTAACAGCCTGCTCTCCACAACATGCAGGGGACTCTTCATCCAAGAGAAAGGTCAAAAGACCCAGCAGGACACTAGCCTGGCCCGAGAACCCAACTGAAGGCTGATAGAACTGTGTGTGTGACCTGGAGCAATCAACTCAGCCTCTGTGTGCTGTGCAGCTTTGAGATTTTCGGATTCTCTGAGATTATGTACTTAAAGACACAGCACAGGTAAATTCCACACCCTTGGGCATCAATTCTTTCACCATCATTCTTTTTTTTTTTTTTTCTTTTTGGGTCACACCCGGCAATGCACAGGGGTTACTCCTGGCCTCATGCACTCAGGAATTACCCCTGGTGGTGCCCGGGGGGACCATATGGGATGCTGGGAATCAAACCCTGGTCAGCCGCGTGCAAGGCAAACGCCCTACCCACTGTGCTATCACTCCAGCCCCTACCATCATTCTTTTACTCAGGA